CGATAAAATAAAACCGATTTTATTTGGGTTTGGTTTGGTTTGGTTTTAGATTTTTGAAAACCGATAGTATTTGGTTTGGTTATGGTTTTATTCGAAAAAAACCGAAGAAATAACCGAACCGATGAATTATATACATATATTTTATTAATATACATACTTAATATATTATTTTTATAAACAATTTTAAAGATCTTATACATATTTTCATTAAAATTTCTTTATAATTTACTTATTGAAAGCAAAAATGCCCAAGATGAAACATTTATCTTATTGATTTCATGTATATGAGTGTCTATGTCAATTCTTTGTGGGACTGAAAATGTTATTGTCTCTTCCTTCTAGGCCAATATAGTGAATTTTAAAGCTTTATTGATAGTAAATTTAGTGATTGAAAGTTTAGTAATTTAAGTCATTCTAACTATTTTTCGTTTTGAATGGATTGTTGTCACTTTTTTCACATTTTAAATGAATTTTTTCTTTTATTTTTGTGTATGGTTAATAACCGAATAACCGAACCAAACCAAACCGAAACCGATAATCACCAAACCGATAAATGTATATTGTATTTGGTTTGGTTTGGTTTTGATAATTTTAAAACCAATTAAGTTGGTTTGATTTTGGTTTTGACCAATAACCGATCCAACCCAACCCGTGAACACCCCTAGTTGTAGGTGCTATCAACTATGTTTGAACGTCCTCCTTAAATAGAGATTGGAGGATTTTTCAGAATAAAAAAATAAAAATACATAGTGTAATAATTTTTCTGTTTTTATGATATGTCAAATCAATATAATTGTATGACAAACACTGCAAAAGCTTCATAAAGAGATAAAAACGTGAAAAATATTTCTCTTTGTAAAACATAATTTTTTCTTCCACTTTATAAAGTGTAAGAAAAAGTTCCACTTTACAAAGTGTAAGAAAAACTTACACTTTATAAAGTGTAAGAAATAGTTCCATTTTATAAAGTGTAGGAAATAGTTCCGTTATATATTAAAATATACACGTTATGGGACTAACGGAAAACGTTTAGAATATTAGATAAAGTGGAATTTTTCTTCCACTAAGCCTATTTTAGTTACTTTCTAAAGTAGTGGCTTATTTTGGTCACTTCTATGTTTTTGTGGCCTATTTAGGTTCCCAACTCCCATACTTCAAACATCCGTTGAATATGCAAAATCTAATCTTGTTAAATGTTATTAATATAGTCAGTCAATCTATTGTATTTTCAATTAAAATGATCACCAAAACTAATTAGATAAAGTTGAATGACCGTGAAAGTCAATTAAGTAAAATTGGATGACTTTTGATAAATAAAATAAAATCGAGTGACTTGAATGATTAGTTATTATAAATTGAGTGATCCTTCATACATTTCAACTCATCAAAGATTCCTCAAATATGTAAAACTGTAATCTTAATAAAATTGCATGTTTTTTAAATATATATATTAGATAGTCAACACATGCAAATTTAAGAAAATCTAATTGGACAGGTTAATTGGAATTGGCTCATTTGACTACAAGGAAGACTCAGAAGGATTCTAGAGTAAGGATTCTAGAGTAAAAAGCAATAAAATTGATCAATTTTTTAAAAAAGGTCAACAGTTTTCGGATAAAACCAAAATGGTGAAATTGTTGATACATCGCTAACGATGTCAAGTTATGGGATAAGACGCATGATGTCATGAACCTTACTAGGCTCGGAGCAGCTTGTGCCTTACAAGCCTTCCCTTTTAGAAAGGCGGTTGACTTAAAAAAAGTATTTTAATAATGTAGTTATCTTAACATTTTTCAATTTCATTCTTGTAATTTACACTTTGTTTGGATGGTTGTACTGTATTGTTAGTCTAAACACAATGTTTATTTTATTGTTATTTAAATTCAATTCTATTGTATTTAAAAAATATTGCAGTGTTTGTTTGGAACATTCTTTCCAATTTATTTTTACAACGTCTTAATTATTTAATTCTTATAATTATACTAGTTACGATATTCAATGTTGTGCACATATTCAATAACATTAAATTATACAGAAATTGATTATATATATTTTTTATAATATTTATATTTAAATATACTATTAATTTAAAGTTAATTAGAAAAAAAACTTTAAATTAAATTAGAATTTCCGCAGTCAAATGTAAATCGTAATTTTATAGCCGAACGTATAGCTTAAATGTACTATCGCCCATTCCCTTTAAATATTAAGTTATCCTCATTTATGTATTTGTATGTATTCAATATATAAAGTAAAAAAACAATTAATTAGACTTTGTTAATATATAAAACATCATAATTTGAGGAGTGGAGAATATGAATATCCATCAATACTCAAATCTAATCAATTGGAAAATTGCAGTCCAACAAGTATAAACCAAAGGGTTCCACCTTATAAATTCAAAAGGAACATGAATCACTAAAAGTGGCACTTGTCCTACCGACATTTCTTTATTTCATAATCCTAATTCCTACACCAACCACTTTTTTTTTATTTTTAAATATAATAAAAATATCACAACTAACTATTTGTTTCCAAACAATCTACTGCACTATTAATTTTTTTTTATGGTGATATGCAATGCAAATTTAAATTAGTTAAGCTAGTAAATTTACTATTTTTTAATTAATTTTTTACTGACAAATGTTTAGTGACTTTTTCACAAATATTTTGATTGAATTAGTACGAAAAGAAAAGAACTAGTAATAGGTTCTCTTACTACAAACTTTTATCTAGTTATGATGTCAAATAAGAAAAACAATAACAAGAAGCACAACGGCTAAACAAGTGAAAAATAAGAAAGGTTCACCTAAAAAATAAATTGTGGGGAGACTTTGTTTCGTCTTATTGATGTGTGGTGAAATTGACTTCAAGACCTAAAATTAGATCAAAGTGATTGGTTTATAAAACAGAACATTTTCGTCCATTTAAAGGAAGTGGTAACTGACGAGGGTCGTGTGGATGTGGTGGAGTGATTAGTATTTATTTATTTTTAATCAGAAGTCTCGGTTTTAGTAGGTTCCTCTGGGTATGAAATAGTTTTTTGTTAGAAAACACTTTACCTCCCAATATGAGATTTTTCAACACGAATTCAAATTTAATCGAATTTTAATATTAATATCGAACCTACACTTACCATTCCTACACTTCAATGTTTGAAAAGCTTTTATGGTATCACTTTAAACAATGTGAAAAACGTACAAAGCCCCTCGCCACGTCCCAATTCCCTTGGGTCAACGGCCCCTACCCC